TTTGACTGCTCAGGCTGGTGCTCATGGGGAGCTCCCTGAAATCCCTGCTGCTTTCGCCATGTTTTGGGCCATTCCAGCCACTTGTGATGCACTTTGCAAAGAATAACTGGGACTGCTGAGGACACCCTTTTTGGGAAGTGGCTGAAAAGTGGCTGAAAATACAGTGAACCTCAGCTACCATGGCAACCTCTCTGAGGAAGAGCCTATACTGTGGCTGGTTCTTCTTCTGCTTCTTGTCCACATCTTCCGTTCTCTCAAAGGAGCTTCTCAGCTCACACCTTTCCACCCCACTAAATATGGTGGACAATGAGCCACATTAGGAAGTGTTTTGCCAGCAGACAGAGGTCCTTTGCCTCTACTCAGCACTGTCAAGGACACACCTGGAGTCCTGTGCCAAGGTGTGGGTTCCTCAGTGTAAAAGAGACATGGGCATACTGGAGAAAGTGCAGTGGAGTGCCACAAAGATGATAATGGGACAGGAACATCTCTCCTGTAAGGAAAGGCTGAGAGAACTGGGATTGTTCAGCACAAGAAAGAGAAGTACAGGTACAAACACCTGAAGGGAGGGTGCAAAGAGGATGGAGCCAGGCTCTTTTTGGTTGTGTCCAGTGACAAAGAGGCAATGAGCAACAGATGTTTCCACCATGTGGGTGCCCAAATATGGACACACATTGCCCAGAGACGTGGTGGTCTCTACCCTCAGAGGTATTGAAATGCAGCTGGACAGGATCCTAAGCAGCTGGTTTTAGGCTGCTCTGCTTGAGCAGTGGGGTTGGACCAAATGACCTCCAGGGATCCCTTCCTCAACCCTGCTGTGATTGTGTGAACAACTGCACACATTTGTAGGCAAAGAAGCACTGGTGTGATGCCACCACAGAGGCCTCCCACAAATCAGAAAGTGGCATTTTCCTTGACTGTTCTCTAGAGGATGTTTGCTCATGGGAATGGCATGTTTGTGCTATTAAGAAGCTGGATAGACAACCCTGAAGAAGGTAAACAGATCTGTCTCATCTAATGACATAAGTAAGTTTGCTTTAACTCTTCTCTTCTTTTCTTTTTTTTTAACTGCTCTGTGTTTAAGTACTCCAGTCTCATTACCTGACACACTCTAGCACTTCTACTGACATTAGTGGAATTATTAACTTCTTGCAAGCAAAGGCTACTTTAACTTAAGTATCCAAAGGTAAAGGTATAAGAGTCCTCACACACATTCAAGAAAGAGAAAAAGATTTGCCTGAAGCAGAAATGAAAACAGAAGATGGCAGATAAAGAACTGATACTCCTTGCCATCCTAGTATGGTAAAACTTCCCTTTTAAATAAAAACAGGTTTCTATAACTGGTTAGATGATATTGTCCTTACTTCCCTGGAAGAGGGAATAAGGAGGGAACACAGAAGGTCTGAGATGTGTATGGAGGAAGAATGGACAGAAAGAGGAAGAGTGGGAGAGAACAATTTTACTGCAAAATGAGAAAAGACAAAAGTAAATCTAAGGTATAAAAAAATAATAGTTGCTATTTGGAACTAAATATGGTAAAAATTAACAAAATTAATACTAGTTATTCTTATATGTCTCATTAGGAGGTTAGGGTTAAAAATAATTGCAATTCCAAAGCAGTTGTAGAAATGTAAAATCCAATATATTCCTTACAGAGCATGTTGTAACAATAAATCACTTTTCAAACTAGCCCTTGTATCTCACACACTAGAAATCTTATCTACGGCCAAAGGAGTAAATACTGTCTCACTTTTACAACAGCAATGAAGCTAAATATCCAGGCAATAAGCTATCTTCTCTGTCTGTTTGCCGTGCTCATTTTTTTAGCAGTTTTAAAGGAAGAGTTTCAGAAAACCTAAATCAACCCAGTGATCTAAACCAGCTTCTCAGATGAAATGTGAGTTTCATGAAGTTTCAGGTATTTTGAGAGATACGTTTTCAGAAGCCTGTGAGCAAGAGGTGCTCCATGCTATATAATTTTGAGAGTCATTATAGGAAGGGCTCCTGAAGCTGATGCTGCAGCAGGAGACAGGATGCCCACAGCTCTGCTCTGGTGACAAACCTGCCTCTGCTGAGCAGACACAGCAGCAGCACCCACCCAACACTGGGCAGATTGGGGGCAGCCCTGGAAGTCGAGCTGCACTCTGGGCATCTTCCTGCTTCTCAGTAGCTTGCAATATATGTAACCAGAGAAATTTTCTGAAAAAAAAAAATGGGAAAAGCAAATGGCTCCAAACCTCAAAAGAAAAAAACCCCCATAGTTTTAAGTTGCATTTACTTCCATTGGAAAATAACCGTTTTCCTGCACAGTCTTTTCACCTTCAGGAATCTTCAGAAGTGACACATTATCTTCTGATCCATGAAATACATGGTGATGGATGACCATGAATATGTGGTCTGCTGGACCCAACAGTTTCCCTGAGTGAGCAGACCATGTACTGGCCTTATCCAACATTCACATCCAGCTTGCACCCAAGTTTTTGCATCTTTCGGGAAAGAGACAAGATCAAACTTGATTCCCCCTGGGGTGCTCATTGATTTCACCTTCCTGCCAGTGGCAGAGCTCAGTGCCTGAACTTGCTCTGGAATGTTTGTCAGCTGTTTTGTTGGAGAGAAATCAGTGTAATTCTGGGAGTTGAACAGATCCTGCAGGTGGCTGGGTCACACACATTTCTGGGTTCTCCTCCAAAAGAATTGTGCTGGCCCATCTCATATTTTCCAGGATCTCTGCCATAGGAATGTAATGGAAACTTGTAGGTTCTGTGAGGGAATTATCAACAGTATTGCTCCATAATTTTTGTGCAGTCAGACACACTATAATCTAACCTGGATCTTGTTGGGATCTGAGTTTTCAGTCCTTACTCATATACAATTTCCTCGCATTTGCCAGTCACAGGGAGATCTTAGGCAGCTTCTCACATCTTCATTTCTCTCAGGTGCCCTGAAACTGGGTTTCATGAACATCTCTCAGCAAGAAAGGGGTGCAATTTGAAAAAAGGAAACAGGAGTGGTTGTCATTGGAAAATTTCCTCTGATGAGAAAGGTCACTGAAAGTTTGTTTTTACAAAATTCTCCAATTTGTAAAACAGAAAACTACTACTGCCTCTGCTCTCAAGCCCCATCCATGTTCCCGCCTCATCCACTAATACAAGGCTAATTTTATGCTAGATAACATTCCCTTCAGCCACAAACTCTTGTTTGGGATGACCAGAAGAATGTAAGATGAGAAACTGGAATAGTGCTTTTAATGTATATAGTTGTATTTACATATATGTTGTATTGTATATATTGTTTTCTGAAGTTCTTGGGATTAAATTTCTTGCTGTTGGGGAGTATTTATTTCGAGCAAATAACACAGGCAAGAAGCTTGTTCTTTCTTGAAACTTTTGCAGTTCTGAGCTTGTAATTTTAAGACTGATCTGCTGCCTTAAGTCTAAAGATATTGTGGATATTTTCCTCCAGGGGTTATTACAGTTTAGCTTTCCTTTGCTGGTGAAGTGTTACCATTTCTGATGACACTGGTTCATCATACGGATACCATCTGTTGTCTGCACAATTTATTACTCAGTCTTATCTCTAGACAAATGATTCTTAAAGGGAACACAGGCGTTTTTAAGAAAGTATACATAATTCATTAAATGCTTAACATTATTTACATCAAAATTGTTATTAAGAGTGATCTGTTAAGAGACACATATGGAACCAGCAGTTCTCAGAATTTTTGCTGTCAGCTCTGTCTCTGACGCTTCAGATCCTAGCTGTTTTGTATGTCCAAAAGCATTTGTATTTTTTCCCCTATAATAGCCAGCCTTATGAGAAGAAACACTGCCTCCCTGTACACCTTGCCTTGACTAAATAATATCTCAACAGAAAGCACACCAGTCCTCCTAGAGGACAATCACATCTTGGGCCCCTCACACCTTTTGCTCTCTCTGAAGAACTGTCTCTTAGCCATGCTGACAGGGGCCTTTGAGCACCATCACATCCCAGATACTAATAATTTGTATTAATTTTGTTATGCAGCCTGCAAAAGCAGCAAGGTTCAGTCAAGAAGAAAACACAGAAATCCCTCTTTGACAGGGTTTGTATCAGCAGTCATGCAAAGCATGAGATCATAAAATACTAATTTTCATTTTTACTCCACCTTCTCTTCAAATAGCTCACGTAGACTTTCAACCATGAAACCATGAATGAATAATATCTAACAATTGCTCTTTGAAGTAGATATTATTATCTTTGTATATGGAGCTGAAAATGGACCATAGGTTGTAAAAAAACTTTCAGAGATATGCACCAGAACTATATCAATCAGGAAAAAAACATGCACTCAGTCCTGGATTTTGAATCAGCAAGATCATTTTTGATAGGAACAAGCCATTAATTTTAGAGAAAAAACAGTTTCAGGCATTTGAGATGGAAGCAAATGCTATTTCCTTTTTTCTTAACAGTTAATTGCTGGGTTGATTTTCAGTAGAGGAAACCAAGCTTTACATTCCAAGACTCTTCACTCTAACAGTAAACAAAGGTACATTCTATATATTAATATCATGCCTTCTTTTATTTAGATCATTAACAACAACAACACCTGATAAGACAACGATGCATCATTATATTTCGCTCTACTAAGGTATCTGATTCACAGATTATTTATGTGGGAACTTTCAGGTATATTATTTAAAGTGTTAAGGTCAAGCTAGCATTAACAACAGGAAATACATTTACACCAGAAGAAAGAGAACCAAAAAAAACCCAGTAATTTAAATACTTTTTGCCTTGAGCATAAAATGTGTTAGATGCAGTAAGAGCAAAAGTCAGGCTGGGCTGGGAGAGATTAGGGTGATGGGAGGAAGAAGAGCATCTCCAGAAGAGAGAAGAAAGAGACAAAATAAAAGATTCAAGAGAAAAATAAATCGAAGGAGAAAGAAAGGAAAGATTTGAAGGGATGCAGTGAGAGTGGGAAATGGAGACGAAAGGGTGCGAGGAGTGTGATGAGGAGACCTCACCTGTGAGCTGAAATGGAATTCCAGTGGAGCAGCCATGGAGCCAGCTCGCTGTCATGGCTGGTGGTGCCCTGCAGTCCCCTGGCCCCACAAGTGAAACTCAGTTTGCAGGTGGTTGCCTTAAGGGTGCATGTCACTGCCCACAGTGAAACCACTTCTTCAAAAGAGAGGGCTTAAGACCTGAGCCACAAGGAAACGGCTGTGGGACGTGGAGAAGAGGGGCCTCTCTGGGGGTCAGGGAGCATCTTCTGTCAGAGGATGCCTCCACCAAGCTGAGCAGCTGCCTCCACCTCAGCTGCTCAGTCTTGAGTCCTTTGCTTACACAAAGACATGTTTTCTCATGTAAATTTGGTGCAGAAGACTTTTTGCTGTCTCACTTCAACTCTTATTTTTGAAGCAGTTACAATTTCTGCTTTCATGTGCTGGGAGTAAGTATAATTTCTACAAGTCCTGATGAGGGGAAGAGCAAGTGTTTTGCCAAGCTAAAGAGCTCAAAAAAAAAATTCCAAATGAAGTTCGTGTGACACCATGGGAATACCCAGCCACATCTGTTGTGGCGAGCCGAGGGAGGTTTCCCGTGCTTGGTGAGCACTCGCTCTGCTGGTGACAGAGGACCTGCTGCGGTCACCTCTGAGATCCTGGGGGCTGCCACCCGGGCAGGGAGTGGGCTTGCAGCATGCGGCTGTGCCTATACCAGGGGGAAAAGGGAACTAGCACTGTTTGCAGGAAGGTTCGGAGTGAGCTACAGCTGCTCTGAAGTTGTTGCACAGATTACTTGTCGAGAGGATGAAAACAAAGGCCTCCAGGCTCAGATGCGAGACTGCAGATGCAGAGTCCCTCTGCCCTCAGCTTGTCCCTGCTTGCCACCTTCCTTGGAGCATAGTGCTTCAGGAGCTGCCTCCTCATCGGCTCCAGGTTGCTCGTGTGAAAGAGGTTAAACTGACCCTTGTGTAGCTCAGCTTGCTGGTGCCAGCAAGCCCCACCGATTTGTACCAGAACAGGACATTGCAGAGGGGCAGACAGATCTCCCTACCTTGCACAGCTATGCATCCGGGCAGAAAGCAGTTCCAGTTCTAAGGATTAAGTGGGAGCATCTACCCTATGATCCCCCAGGATAGACCAGGGGATTTGTATTATTTGCTTGGCTGTTGCATTTTATATATAAAGTTACATTTTCTTATTCATTCAGTTGTTATTTTTACTTGCTAAGGTCTAGTTCATTCTGCAATTGTTCAGAACCCAGACAAAAAGAATCCCTAAGCCAGTAAACGCAGTGTTGGCAAAGTATTCTCAGAAACATCTCAGAGATTATATCTAGATCTTTTATTTTCTATTGATACCTGGTATCAGTAATAAAATACCTTCTGCATTAGGGAAGTCAAAATAAAAATGCAGATGAATCAAAACTAGATAGACATACCATAGCTAAAAGAAGACACAGAAAACATCCTGAAGGTAACTGTAGGGGCAATAGGGCACAGAGGACAGCATTGTTCATGGATATGAATGCATGATCTCTCACAAGACTGCCTTAGACACACTGACTGACTGAATAGCATTGTACTGTGGTGCTGAACACAAGTTTGTGTATTTTACAGTGCAAAAGGAGCTGAAATAATATGAAAATTAGGAAGGTACGTATTTGCAAGGATGCAAAAATGAGACAAGGAAGGATAAGATTCCATGGGCATTAAAGAAATCGATGCAAACAGGAAAATACCATGCTGGCAACAAGCTTTCTTTCCTGGCAGGTTGCCCCTTTTTTTTCCACAGCCTGCACTAGTGCATAGTCCCTCGAAGATTGCCTAGTCCAGTGCCATACTCAAAATATGATCAGCTAGCACAGGCTGCCCCAGAGCACATCCAGTACAGTTTTAAATACCATCAGGGATGGAGAGTCCACAACTTTCCCCAGCAATCTATTCAGCACTTAAACCACCTCACAGTATAAAAATGTTTCCTGATATTCGGAGTGAACTTCCCGTTTCAGTTTGTGCACATTGCATCTGCTCCTGTCACTGGATATGACAGAAATGAGTCTGGCTCCCCCATCAGAAATTTATACACATTGATAAGGTTCCCCCACAAGCCTTCTCCTCTACAGGCTAAACAGTCCCATCCATTTCACCCCCAATCCCTTACCAGATACCCCAATCCATTATCATCTTTAGAAGAAAAGGAAGACCTAAGGAACTACAGATCAGTGTAGTCACTGTAGTCAGTCTGTGTCTGTCAATATCATGGAGCAGATCCCCCTAGAACTATGAGAAGGCATGTGGAAAATAAGGAGGTGACTGGTGACAGAAACATGACTTCACTAAGACTAAACGGCATCTGGCAAATCTGGTGGCCTTCTAGTATGGGGTTACAGTTTTGGTGTATGAGGGAAGAGTGACTGACACCATTTACCTGGACTTGTGCAGAGAATTGGACACTATCCTGCATGAAACTTTGTGTCTAAACTGGAGAGACATGAATTTGACAGAGACACCAATCAGTGGTTCAAGGAATTGGCTGGATGGTTACACTCAAGGAATTGCAGCCAATGACTTGTCCAAGTGGAGAACAGTGACAAGTGGCGCTCCGGAGGGATTGATTTTGGGACCCAATCAGTTCAAGATCTTTATCGGTTACATTTTGCACTCTGCTGTACCTCTTTTAACCCTACATATACATACAGGTTTTGCCCTCAGAAAACAGGGGTAGACAGTTTGTACTTCTGTTCTGAAAATAACAGACATCTTTCCCAGCCACAGAGTGCTCACTGTCAGTAGGGTGGCCTGACAAAGACCTGTCTAAACACACTTAACAGGCAAGTGGATACTTGTCCTTTGATTTAAAATTGCCAAGTGACCTAAGTGTTTTGTTTTCTCCTTCACCTGATGCATTCAGCACTGGTAGCTGCTAGGATTCCATTGAAGATATTTTGCTTTTTTGTGGTTCAGACAAGAAGAAATTACCATTTAGTAATGAAAATCTGTTGCTGGTGATTCAGCTGATCTGGTATCAGAAGTCATAATACATACGTCAGGTTTTCAGTGTAAAAGCTTCTGTGGAAAATGCCATCAGCTAGGACAGTTCACATCTACTGGACTAAGCCAAAATATATTTATAAATTCTGCCGTATTAACTTATTCCTAAAGATGCTGGACTGGGGTCAGAAAGGGTTCAATGAATGTATCATACACATGTATATGACTGTAAAGTATTCTTTGAGTGAGCAGGGCTTTTTCCCACCACGAGATAATGGTTTCTGTTATCAAGTATTTTATCTAGCTTATGTCACATCCTGGTTGGCCTTCACTGCAACGGGTAGATAAAGCCTGTGCCAGTGGGAGCAGCCACATGGTTAAGAAATTCTCTAGCTAAACCATATGATCGGATTACCAGCACAGTGAAACTAGACTTACATTTTAGTGCTCATTCTAATACTAATTCTAGCTTAGGGCTAGACCTCCCCTCCATACATTATTAATATAAGTGTTAGCATACATTATTAATCCAAGTGTTAGGAAGAGCACTTCAGGGTCAACTCCTGATTTGCGGCTTAATTTGAATTCAAAACTTCACTGAGTTGAAATTAATTTCTTTTTGCACATGAATGGGAGTCTGGTTGGGAGCAACACCTGGTATTCTTCCAGATACTGTTAGTAAAGACAACTGCCCACTTAGAGACCCATTAATATTGCCACAGCTGGTCAGTGCATGCAGTCCAATATCCTGACTGCCATATTACTGATTCTCAAATATTTCAAAGGCAGATGAAAAACTCCCTAATTTCGTGGAATAATCTCCTCAAGAGTGGCAATCTCCCTCTGACTTCACACAGCAGCTGGTGTATATTAGCCGAGGTATCAGGCTTTGCTTGAAAAAAATACAAACTATTAGCAATTATGAAAAATGCATAAACACTAAATTCTTGTCTAATATTATAATGATAGACTTAAAAGTTAAATTCAGATTATGTGAAAATGTTTTTTAGAAGTATTTCCTTTGATCTGTTTCAATAATACTAAGGCTAGTTTTGTAAGTAGAGATAGCATCATCTAATAGACCCAACTGGTACTGCTGGAAAAAACCCAGTGTTCACACATTACTTTTTTCAACTACTGGGTTGGTTAAACAAGATTCCTACCTACAAAACTTGTCCTGCTTACACCTTAAAAAAAGGTCAGCCACAGTAACTCTTAGCCTTAAAAAGTATTGTTATTCATTTGCATTATCTGATGCCAGCCTGCACTTAAGGATCTGTTTCCACATGATTTAATAAACATGTTAATTCTGGTTTGACATAAAGAGAAACTGTCACTCTCAATAGCAAACATGGCTTTCTCAAGAGTGGTTCAAATGTTAGGGGGGAGTTGCTTGGCACTTGCAAGCTGATTTGGTTGGAAAAAAGCTCTTGGCAGATGTTTCCTTTCAAGGATTTCCCCATCCCCCTCCCCCCAATTTTTCATCTCGCAATGTTTCATTCTGCATTTCTGGCACAGATCATAAAAAAAAAACTCTGTCACTTGGCGATGGCTGTGTGCGTCCATACAGTGGTATTTCCCCCCTTCTGGGTTGAAAAGTGTACCACAGTTACCACTTAACTACAAAGTGGGACAAGACCCAGGGGTATCTATCTATTTCTCTTTCCTATTGCTTCCTGAATTTCATGCAAAGTACAGTAACACTCTCCACAGAGGTGCTAGCTGCAATGATCAGGACACCTAGCTTTGCGATAAAAATAACATCATCAATCACTCCTTTGCAGGAATGCATAGCACATCTCCATGCACTACACAAAGCAGGGGAGCAAGCTGAAGACAGAGAATGGTCTGCGGGCCTCCTCAGCACTGGCTGACCAGCAAGAACAGGCAATAAAAATCAGAACCTGGAGGGGAACACATGATTAATGAGATGATGTCAGGCTCCCATATGGACACTCGCTTCCTGCAGGTCAGTCTTCAGGCCACATCCTTGCCTAAAGTGAACAGAAATGAAGAGACAGGAGAGCTAAAACCTTGCCCGTCACAAAAAGAGGCTCATGCCACCTTGAGCCTCTTCCCATTACTGGTTCT